GTGGAGAGAAGAAACTCGAGAGAGGGCTCCATACACAAGAGGGAGCATTGCCACGTATGCTGCTATTAATGAGAGTGGCAGCGGTTGCAGCGGTCAAATGAAATCATCAGTTTTCCTGTCGCGCATTTCATGTCGCGGTAGTGCTACCGCCCCAGTAGTTAGAGGTCCTGTCACCTCATTCGAGGAAAGATCTGAGGATACCCTGCCTTGACCCGTGCCTTTAAGGTTGCCGAAAGCTCAATTTTTTTCAAGAAACTAAGTAACTAAAGTTAGTCAATTTTAAAAGTCTGCTATATGTTGAAAGAGAAACCATCTGGAAAAACGTGCAATTATTCAAGGTATTCATCGTTGGTGTTGGTCTTGAGAAGCCAATGACAGAATTTCTCGAAAAGTTCACCTGGCTTTATTTCCCCGATCCAAATGTGCCGTTCTTCCGTGTCACAATACTCAGTCGATATGGAGAGGTGAGTTATTCAATGCAACATCAATCATCCACAGTGATTTTTCTACCGTATTCCCTGAACCGCAGATAATCACCGCTGCATTGACACGTGATGGATGTCAGTGATTTGATGTATTGATTTATGAGTTCATGAAGTAATTGCAGGTGACACCGGATGGTAGCAAGTTCTGGTCGCTGATGTGTGAATGCGCACGACCCATCGATGATCCAGTAAGTGAGCGGTGATGGCCCGCGCTATGCGAAAACTGCAAAATTGCTAGAAAGGATGAATACAGTAGTTGCCTTGAATTTTGTCACAGTAGTTTGGCATGTACACCTTTTCTTACCGTTTTTCGAGTTGCGCAATACAAAGAGCTTCCCCGCTTTCAATGAACTTCTTGGAACTATTGAGGAGTCAATTTCAATTCAGGTAACAGAAGAAGAGATCGTGAAGCAAGCCATTGACGGTTTGGTTATCAAGAGCATGATCCAGCGCGACAAGATCGCCTCAGTCTACTCCACAACCTTGGAATATGGGTATCCCATCCCAACTCCAGCGGTGAGTATGCCAAAATATCATGCCTTACTTTTGCATGTAATCGTTCAAGTTAAATAGTACCCCTTTGGTATTCGACCAGTCTCGTCATTCGCTATGCAGCAAACATCTCAAGGTATGCCAACTCCACTAAAATCTGATAAGTGGAAGGTTAGCACAGCTGATAGTTGGTAAATGACAGTTGCAATTAGTGACATTCGATAGAATACAATTGCAACTGGTTAATCATCTCAACTGTCAAAAACCATCAACATGTGAAGTCTTCCGTCGCTTCGTGTGGTTTCTTCCGTACTCGACAGACGCACCTGCACACATTCTTCTTTTTGTTCCACATTAACTTATGACATACATTAAAAATCCTGAGAAATCAGTGAGACGTTTATGCTGAGCAAGTATCGCGCCACAGTCAAATCGCAATTCTCTGCGCATTGGCAACATGTCAAAAAAAGCTGCGACAAGAATTCATCCTTTGCTTCACCAGGCAGATGGTTTAAACAGTACCTCACTCCGACTTAAGGTGTCTATTTAGCCTCGCTGCTAAAACTGCATTGGTTCGCTAACCAGCACTACCATAGCGCTTCTCGCAGCCTATAAGGCTATGGAGACTGCAACTGAAGAGGTGCGTTTAATAGTTGAACGGGACCTCGTTGATATGCCCTGAATCCTCCGATAAATGGACGAGCTAGCCACCGACTAACCGCTAAATGTCCATTGCAGATTTTCAGAAATCCGATAGGACATCACACTCAAGCAACCGAACATGCCCTAAGCTGACGCAACGCATTCGTGAAGATTATATGAAGGCTTAAAACAGAGTGGAATACCCTTATCTAACATGATCAGAACAATTATGCTCAAACAAAACAATTGGCGAGCACAGGCGGTGCTGAATGGAGCTTAGAAAGGATTGCCAGAGCAAACCTATTCCGAAGCGACAGACTACGACAAACTATGTGTACAAGCATGGAAGTACATGCACCAATAGAAGCAGTAGTCAGGGGCCTACTAGGAAAGCGAGTTGTGGACTTTTCGTGGGCGAAGGAGCGCTAGTTCAGCGCCTTGAGGCTGCCGATCGTCCCTGAGCTAACCGCCTTCGCCGCCGTGCTCCGCCCATTAGTGTGTAGCTAGCAGCTTCCTTGTTTTATCATTTGTACACTCTATTTCGAGTGTGCTCTATAATTTCGCCCATGGAATGCGCCATCAATCAAAGCATGATTCTTTGCTGGAATGATAGCGGCTATAGCTTTAACATGTGCAGACGACGTCCTAGTTGATTGCAAGCACATCCACCATCGGAGGTCAATGGGCAAAGAAAGGGGTCCCATTTTGCGCCTTCTTGACGGATTTCTTGCTTTTTTTCGCCACTGTTGCGTGCAATCTCACTACAGCATTCTTATCACTTTCACACCTGGCTATCTCAGATCTTTAAAATAGCGAGAGATCACGCTCAAAGTGCGTAATGCAGCGTGAAGTACATGCACCATTGGAAGCAGTAGTCAGGGGCCCAAGGAAACGAAATGTTGCGTTTTTGTGGTCAAAGGTGCGCTAGTTGCAGCGTACAAGGCTTGCCATTCCTTTCTGAGCCCCGCCACGGTCTGTGCTCCGCCCCCAGCAGCAGCGCCCTTCGATTGCCAATGTGACGAGATATTCCACTTCCAGAGTGTATCCTATAACTTTTCATGGGATGCGTGATCAATCAAAGCATGATGCTTGCTGAAATGATAGAGGCTATCAGCATAACATGTGCAAACGACCTCCTAATTGGTTGCTAGCTCGTCCATTATCGGAGGTCAACGGGCAAAGAAAGGGGTCCCATTTTGCGCCTTCTTGACGGATTTCTTTGCTTTTTTCGCCACTGGGGCATTATTCAGCATCTCCACTTCCACTATGAACCCAGTCCAAACTTATCGTAATCCCTCGCTTTAAAGTATGGATCAGAAAGTGCACGCTTATTTACCTCCTTAAGTCCATGAAAGAAAGTAATGGATTGTCAGCGCAGCTTTGCCCTCTTTTGTTCCGCACGTATACAGTGCAACTACCTTGTAATTTTTAGACCTATCTCACTGAAAGAACAATGGGTTTTTCATTAAGTTTGCGGGCCTTTATTGTAGAGAGATCTCCGAACTCCGCCTCGTGCACATCGTGCTTGGAGAAAGCACACTAATCTACTTCGAGAGGTACCGTTTTGGTGGTCTGAATATGAAGTGTCGAATCAGGTACCTTTTATGATCTGAACTGCTTCCCCGTGTCCTTCTTGGTTGCCTTATTCCTCCCTCGTGCGGCATCGGAGCTTGGACTCGCTTTTTCCAGAGCCCTATCTTTGTTCTGTGATTTATGTATGTGCGGGTCATCCTGTTTATTTTGTATTGGTGTTTTCTCTTAGAACATGCTTTCGCTAATTAATTCTTTGTGCATTTTTCTCGAGCGCCTTTTAATGAGAACTAAAGAAGTTCTCATTTTTTAAACCAGCTGCACTCTTGCCCATTCGAAACAATTAGGCTTGTGCTTTAATTGTACTAATTTTTGATTGGAACGCTTTTAAGGATCACTGCTTCATCCAAGGCAAAGAGTCTCAATTGTATCGTGTGGTATTGAACGAGCCTGAAAAACTGTACAAGACTGGTCTTGCTGAGAGACAAGGATGAAAGGAACGCTCAGGCGTAGGGTACAAACATTTCAGAGATGGCCTTGACAGATTTCTATATCCAGATGCAGTGACCGGTTTTATAAAAAGCATTCTTGTGCAATTGATGATAATTTCTGTGATAATATGGAAATAAATGTTCTCATGATTCACACCACGGATTTAAAAGTGGAATTCACGCTGAAAAGGGAAACCGTTTCGAAATTAAGGATGGCCAGTGATACAGGAAGAAGAAACAAGACAATGGAACTGGCTCGATACCTCGAGAAATGGAACCTTCCTCTTGGCATTGAAATCGCCTGATGCGATCATCTCGTCGTGCCCTCTCCAAGCAGTAACACTCTCTGCTATGTCGGTTTCTGTACTACTACAGAATCATAGCGTCCAGATTACGGTGTGCTACCCAGACATACACACGTTGAAGGCATGCCCCAGGATCACATTGGTGTGGCTCTTGTACACGAATGCGAATGTATTGGTGCGAAGTGGGCCGGCAGTAAAGAAAAAAGGAAAAGAATCCGTCAAAAACGCTTAGGTTAAGGGCTCACTCACCTTCCTAATCGGCTGTGCTAAGGGAATGAGACTAGGCGCGGAGAGGAGAGTATGGGGCGAGAGAGCGCTACAGATGAGAGATCGCCAGACAACAGTCTGATAAGAGAAAAAAGTCTGCAGCTTGGGCAGCTTACTTTGCAAGGCCCAAGCGCTCTTATCGGTTGGTTTCCGTGCACGAGAACGCCACATTTGTGATTCCTCTCTAGGGGTCTATACTACAAACCGAAGAGAAGCGTTCTTCGTGTGCCTCTGACTGGGTGTGCATAAATGAGTTTGCATTGGAAAGGATTTGCGTTCGCTCCTTGGTTTGCTTCTGCTCTTCTAAATGATCCATTAGTATTCCATTATCATAACGTCCAGATTGTGGCATGCACGTAGATGTGTTCACAATTGAATTCATTAGAAAGAATTTGCATTCGACTTCCTTGTTTGCTTTCGCACTTTACTTAATATTCTATCACAGAAGAAATAGTATTTCATCGTGAGAAACCTTGTGGTCGAACTGCGCATATAAGCAGCCAGAAGAAATGTGGTTTCAATCTTGGCAATCTAGATGCTATCCTCTGACTTCAAAGCCCTCAGTCAATAAACACGTCGGTGGGCCGTTACCGCATCAACTGACAATAAGGGTGAGCCATGCTATCCTCGCCGAGGTTAAATATACATATTGCTTCGCTGCCCAAGTGCGCGTTCGGTTCGCACACTCAGGAGGTCGCGCCCTTCCTACTAACACAAGGGCAACTTTTCCCTTTTCTTATGCCCTTCGATCGCTTGTTTATTTGCTTAGTTTATATTTTTTTTTTTGTTTTTATTATATTACTGTGTTTCTTTTTTTAATATCGTGGATCCTCCTTCGAGAAACAAACCTCGTTCCGTTATACGTGTTCCTGTACACACAGTGGATTCCCCGCAGCACTGCAGCGACAACCCAAGTTCACTTCTATCGTGGTCTTTCCACTTAAAGGACGAATTCACGCTGGAAAGGCAACCCATTTCAAATTAAGTTAGCGATGGTGAGTGGTACACTAAAGAAGGAAAAACCATGCGAAACGGCCCAGAACCTGAGAAATGGGACCCCTTCCTTGCCCGTTGATTTGAGCATTGATGCGACTATCATCGCTGTGCCCTCTTCAACGCTACGCTCTCTCACCTATCTAATCACTCACCACGTATAGACCTGCGGCGAGTGATCAGATGATCGGTGGGCGTGCACTGACCAGCCGCGGCGGGATTAAACCTTAATAGGTCAACGAGGTCAACTCCTCCTGTGCAAATTGTGCTTCAGTTCGCACACTTAGGAGCTCCGCGGGTCCCTCAACCAGGTGAATTCTTCCTAATTCGATTTTCCCTCTGATCGTGAATTCGTCCTTTAAAAATCTTTATGTGATTGGGGGATTATCGAAAGTCCTCACATCTGTTTCGTATCAGCAGCTTTTTGTTAAGGCAAAAAGTCGGCTCATAAGTGGTGTTAGCGCGTAATAGAAAACTTGAGTATAGAGATGCGAAGTGGAACGACAGTGGAGAGAAAAACTGAGAAAAACCCGTCGACAAGGCCGTTAACAAAACCCTCTTTCCCACCTAGCAGTGAAGGAGGCTGTCTTGGGAAAGAGGCACGTACAAACAAGTTTTCTGGAGATGTCAGTCCGAGCAGGAAGTGGCGTCGGAGCGCCGCCAGGCGGCGAAAGCGCTTAATACGTGCCCTGGAGCCTTATTACGGCGCCGTTTGGGATTCTGAGCATGGTAACGTCTCTGTGGGTGCGCAGCCATGCACAAAGACGACAAAAGGGATTGGTTTGGTCCACTCAAGCCTGACTCGTGCCTTTAACTAACACGGTACAGTGAACAGTGAAAGCGGCTTACCCCAGCACACGGTGCAGATATAAGGTCCCTTCATTGTAAAGTAAGAAAGCTTCCTATCCTGCTGAAATCGTCTCCCTCATGAGAGCACGAGCCTGTACGCCAACTACTTTTCGAATGACGAACATTTTTCATCAAAAGGTTGCAAAAGTGAGTAGTGAGCGATTGCACACTCCTCTTACCATGCGGCCTCTGCGCTTTAAACAGGATTCGTCGACGAAAAAGCTCCGCCTCCATCGCCACAGAAAAACGACAACTTGGGCCGCTAGCCTCATGAGCATAGCAAAAAAAAACGGAACATAAGCGTTAGTTTCGATAATACTAATCCTACACAAAAGACAAAATGATCACTCTTTCCGTGGAAGATTCCTTTAAACCCTTTCGAGACCTACATTTTTTTTTCATGGAGGAAATTTTGCTTTTTTAAGAGGGCGAATTGCTCTTTAGTGAGCAAACATAGTGTCATCAACAGCAGTGAAATTTGGAAGCTCACAAAACAATAAAACTAAGAAGCTTTGAAAATTGGCCCACCTTCTTAGTTTTGAAGCTTATGTCGAAACAATTCCAAATTTCATAGTTATGCCGAAAAAGTTTATAATCTTGCACAACATTATAACCCATAATTTTGATTTAAGAATGGATCTACTTCAAGTATTTTAAGAAAAAGTGACACTTACCACTTGCAGTTTGTGCGATCTACGGTCGGCTGTCCTTGTTGCAGCTCGGTGACGGAGCCCGACAGGAGGCCCGTCGGGCGCAAAAAGCGGAGTCCAGCGAACCAGTCTCATGCCTGCAAGTGCGATCGTACGATCCTACGCGCTGATACAGTCTAATTTAACTTAACCGCGAAGTCACCTGCATACGCGCTGGGCGACCGCGTGGCAGCGCCTGACTTCATGGTCGCACGATGCGCCTCCTGTCGGTTACCTTGCCGCTACCATTCCAAATAAACATAAATAAAAACGTGCCGCGGCACAAAAAGGGATTGATCAACACTGGATGCTCTGTCTCTAATCATTTTTGCTCCATCGAAATACAGCTACTATCCGGTAGCCGGAGGAGCTTACCTAGTTCTCTCAATTGCACCTGAGTACTCGGTAATTTCGGGTGATGTATGAACATGTACTTAGGTTCAACCTGATGAATGTGTCAGGAAATCGTATAAAAAATTGTTCCAGTTTTTATTCAGAAACGACAGACATTTAATTAGTGCGACGTGAAGGAGGGTACAGAGAGCTTCATTACGAAAGCTCAAGACATCGAATGTACGACTCAAAGACGTTAAAAACGTTCAAATATATGACAAGCATTTCAAAAAAGCGAGATAGTAGTCCATGGTAATATTAGGAAGGACGGACAAAAGTCAAGGGCTCAAGGCAAGCATAGGCTAACCAAACATGGTAACCATAAGACGTGTAACTAAAATTGAGTTATTCAGTAGATAACCTTGTTCAAAGATGCCATGATCAGAATGAGGTTGACGATCAAACATTCACTAGAACTACAAGCAGAACACGATCAGCAGATCTATTCCACTGCTTGGTTTGTCGGGTTCGCTGGCCCAGCACGACTGTTGCCCTTGTTCTTGTTCATCACCCGCGGTTTGTGGCTGCTACCAGCACGCGAAACTCGCTTCACTCGAAGGGCTGAAATTTGGTGAAACGCAGACAATTATTCTCAATTCAAAACCGGTAATGTGTCATAAGCTTAGGAGGAAAACCTCTTAGACGGCATTATTTGAAGAAGTGCTGAAACTGAGCCTTGTGCGCTGCGAACTGTTCTGTGAGGTAGTTCTTTTCGGAGATTGGAAGCAGAAGCTTCATTACTCCCACAGTTAAAAATCCTCTATTTTTTAGCCTTTCCACAGTACTACCTATGTTAATTGTATTAGCTGTATTACCCGCTTTATCTATATCGTCGTAATTTTTGCCTCATCTTGAATTAGAACTAGATTTGGTGGATGCATAAATACTATCACACAAGTCCACAATTTTTTCGAATACGTCAAAAGCAATTTTCTAGAAGAAGAGGTGTGTTCTTTGGTAAAGAGAGGCGTTATTTTCTCTTACTCTCCTAGTTCGCAATGTACAGAGCTTCCGGAAAGGCATGGGCTGATTCATATCCCGGCATGGCACTTCTAAGGTGCATCGAGATGAGGGCCAAAGGAAGCCTCTCCCTTCTTAATTTCGCATGTGAACTGTGTTTTTGGCTAGCACTCCAACGCTCTGTGCTGTGAATAAGAAGTGAATTCCGTTCAGCGATCGTGTCGCATGTCTCCGGGTACATCAAAAGCTAACCAATGGGTTCGGTACGCAATGTGCCCAACAGTGTGCGGAGGAGACAAGGTGGTGGCAGGCGACCAGCTCAGGCTGGGTACTTCCTGCATAGCAACTGTAGACTAGTACGGTTTTTATTCTGGTCATTTTTTGGAGGTAATCGCCTCCTTTAAACCTTGAAAACTCCAAGCGCCTCGTCACATAGTAATCGAAATACCATTTCAAGTCGAAAGAGAATGTACAAAGAAAATTCCAGTCATCGCAGCGCAGTGAAAAACTCAAAAATCCAGTCATCAGCGGCGCAGTGAAAAAAACCTCATTTCACATGTGGTCAGAGAATTCAATGTGACCGCAGTATTTTCGGAAAACGCTGGTATTTCTTGGATTTCATTTTTTCCAAGTAGTTTTCATGGTTAGAAATGATTTCCGAACGTTGGTCTCGAAACGCGGTCGACAGTTTGTTGCACTAGTATATTTTCTCCTTCTAGAATAATCGCTCGGACACTATTATTATCATCTATGCATGGTGCTATGTGGCTTTCGGTGGTCGCAAATTCCTTCCGATTCTGCTTCTATGGGAAAAATGGAAAATGTGGTTGTCATCGCAAAGTTCATGAAATTTTGCATTCTGGCACTCGTGGGAGGGGAGGATGGTGTTTTGATGTTAGATGTACTTCTTCTCGACAACAGGGACCCCAGCTATTGCGGATAGAGTCGTCAGGGGAACATTTCACTTTTGCAGAAAGAGATTAGTGGGTTACTGCTTTATTTGGACCTGTATATCGAAATGCCTTGGGCTTTCATCACTAAATGCCCCACCCATCAACCAAACGAGAGACCGTGCTTTCTCACATCACTGCTTTTTTACGATGTCCTTGTGTGAGCATATTAAGTGCTTGGGCCTCAGTGAAGTGCAAGCTGACAGCGAAATGTAACTTCGGTGCATGCCTTAGTTGTGTTTGTAGCTAGTCTAGATAAAATATAATGTACCTACTGAATCTACTTGGTGAACGTCATCGGAGGCGAATGTCGGTTCATCTTCGTGGTGACTGGATTCTTCAACGTCTCTTTTGTGAATATGATCTAAAGGTAAATGGGGTAATATATAATCACTTCTACAGTATCTTCAATCTTGTGATGGCAAAAATGTATAAGGGATCAAGAGAGAGAGGTGGGGAGAGCAGTGAGGATCCTTTCTTGCCCACAACATACAGAACTTAAAGGAATCTTTCGCGGAAAATTCTTGCATTCTTTCTTGACATGAATGTGTCAGTTGTGATCACTGGAAACAGCACACAAAGTTTCACGCATGAAGATTCGGTTTCCGAAGAGAAACAAACACAAAACTACACTTTATGGACAATCGAAGGTAATTCGGGCGGAGCCAAAGGCGAGGCATGGAAAGAAGTCGGCCTTTGGCCGGCTACGTATCAGGCGACGCAATGAAAGAATCGGGTTAAAGCGCGCGATTTCGGAGAGTAGAGACAAATCGATCGATAGAATAGGATGGAGTAGAAGTGTAAGATGTGAATGCAATAAGCAGAAGGCCAGAAAGAGTTTCTAGTGAAGGCACTCCAAGAACCAAGTGGAAGCATCGCCAGCATTTGTGAAAGACGTCCGTGGGCACTTTGAACGCGTCGATTTTTCGAATTTTTTTTTTACCAAAACAAAAGCAATATTTCTGTTCTTTTCATTCTTATCGTGGATAATGAGTCTCAAGCCAGTGATTTATGGCTGAAATAGAATCATGATTTTGACTTGTTTTGTTTGTTAACTGCTGTTTTAACGCCGCAGTTCGCGTTGCGAATGTTTCACAAGAATGCTGGGTTGTGAACAAAACTTTCGCCCCAGGCGGGACTAGAACCTCTCGCTTCTTTTCTTCCCAGACCTTACGAGGAAATGATGGTAGGTCGGACACTGGGTTCTATCCATGAAATGTGGTCTCCAAACGAATTGAGTGCTCTTCAAAAAAGGCTGAGTCTCCTATCGTTGGAGATCCATGATTTTTCCGTGAAGGATTCCTTCAAGTTGTACTTCGAAAAGTATGTAGTCATCCTATATCGAACACCGGAACCGTTTTTCATCCCTGCTTCATTTATTGCTGGACTGAGTGGGAATTTCAAAATTATAAAAAATGTGATGCGGACCACGGTGGAACGGCGTGGGTATAGGATGGCTGTTCTCATCGAAAACCAAAACTCATGTCATTCGGCTCGCATTCGTTATCTATCAGAGGGAAAGAGGAAAGGAATGTCAACGGTGCAAGAAAGTTCTCCTCTTGTGCCAGATTTCAAGTTAATGCCCCAAATTCTTTCCATGATTTTGTACGGACAAAAAACAAATTGTGTGTAGGAATTTAGCGATCAGACGTACCACGATGATGTCCTGACGACCTCTTCTCGTAATGGTGCGGCTCTGAAATTATAAGTAAACCGATTTCTGAATTGTATCCAAGTGGTCTTTTACATGGGTCTTCAATGTGGCGGTAGGAGCGTCGCAAGGAGGAGAACGAGTTTCAGCATTTAATATTTGTACTAGTGATAAACGTATCCTTCGAGTCTCTCCTTTCCATCTTATATGGTTTCCAACTTATTGAAGCTTTCAATCGTTACACAGAAAAGCCTCTTGGCTACGTTGAACTGTCGCTATATGTAGCGTGCCAGAGCCCTTTGTCGGTTCAATGTGAGGACTGGCATACTGTGACAAGGGGTGTACCACTAATTTTGAGAACGGTTTGTAGTTGGTATCAATAAGAAGTTGGGATAGTCTTCAATCACACTGTGCCCAAAAGGGGAGAGGAAAATGAAGAAACTTGGGAAAGTACATACACCCCCCGGCTCGACGGTAATTTTTTGGGGTAAAAATTGTTTTGAAAGAGGGGGTCGTATGAAACATTTCATGAGGGAGGGGGGTCGTAAAAACTTTTTGAAAAGTAGCAACGATAGGACCGACCCTGATTACGCTGGCAGCGCGGGCAGCGCGGCGGGCAAGGCCTTAGCGCCATTGCCGCGCACTTTTGGGTCGCGATAGTGTCGCGCCCTCAGTGCTTGGGGAGCCCACTATCGCACCCTGGGAAGAACTTCTGCTGGTTGCCTAATCCTGACTCGTGGCTTTAAATTTTAGGCGTTATCAAGCTTATGTAGGTTTCCCAAGATTTCACATTTCACCTCAACTGTTTGGCTCTTCTCGTGGGAACTCCAACGAGAGCTAGAAAATTATTTCAGGCTTACCTTCTTGGCTATGGGATGAATGCTCTGAATGCTCTGGAAGGTCTGGGTCTTCTTCCGCGTTACGGCGCTTTCGATTAGAATGTTCAGCATTGTCAGGGTGCTCATGGTGATCTGATTCAGGAAAATCTTGGCCTTCTTCCGAATGAATGTAGCCTTCATCGTGCGGATCTCCCTCGCTCTCTGATCGCTTCTCACGTACACCGTGACGACCGTGACCTTCAATCACTGAAAATATAAAACTATTAAGGAACTGATTTGCAAAAGTAATATCCTCGGCAGAAGAGTATGCGGAACTAGCCCTGTATCGGAATGGGCTGTGAGCAGGGTCAGTAATACATTGAATAAAAGCAGTGTCCCCTTGTGCCCCTCCCCACGCACCACTCTTCGAGAGGATCCCACGCAACCAACAACCTAGCCTTTATTCATTATCCAGTGATATCCTAATCCGAATTAACCCACTTACTCGAAAGGGTTAAAAAATAGTTGGTGAAATGGAACTGCATTACAAATTTCCCTACATTTTGTGAGCAATCCTCCCGATCGCCCGAAAATTCGTCCACTCATATATTCTAAAAATACAATACCGATTGGACCGAATACGCCAAGAACGAATGCCCCCTTCATTGGAAATGTTCCTAGGCTGCCGCTGGTTGTGACTCATCTGTACTGGAAATAATAGGATAGGACTTCGCAACGGAAATGGCAAAGGGAAGCAATTAGCCGTTCTCATGGATTGCATACAGCTAAC